TGCAAAGACTAGTACCTACTAGATAGTAGTTACTAGAAGAAACCAAATTACTCAATAACTAGTATACTGGGTCTGAAAACAAAATATCAAAACACCAAACAAAAAAAGGCACCCTTAAATTCAGAAGAAACCCTTTAAAACATCCCTATCCAGCCACACATTACAGTGTAAACTCGATTATCCAGACTAACTCACAATGTCAAGGCCACACACCGCACGTTTTACAACCAAAACATAAACACTGGACCCTGCCTCCCCAGCCCTACTTTTTCACATTTAACCCCCTTTCATCTATTTAGTAGAATCCTTATTAGCTTTGAAATACACAATGCCATTTCAGAAAGTGGTCATATGTTCCTTATTAGCTTATCATCAACATTTGAACTGTTCTGCACAATAAGTCACAATATACTTTACACTACTTACTTAGTTGAACTTATACGCAATCAAGTTCCCAACCCTCTTACGTCCAACTTCTCAATTCCCCATCTAAACTAAATTATTCTCAATATACAGGTGTTTTATGATATAATGCTTTACTCCCCAAGGAATAATTGTATTACGTTTTTGTTAAACACACCTATCACGTCGGTCGATGACTTGTGGCACTGTCTCAAGTAGATAGTTGGGATATGGGGACAGACAGACATATAAGTATGTAGACAAGCCATTCTTGAAGAAGTATGGGAGATTATGGCACATGCATTTAGAACAATACCTTTTTCACATAATAGTAGAAATATATATGTGTGAAATATGCACACATAAAACGACCAGATGAAAGGCACAGAGTGTATAAAATTCCATCACTGATACAATAAAGCCCGACGGGGAGTTGGTTTGGTTGGTTTGTTGTTTAACCCCGGACTGGAACACGATGTTACGGAGTATATTCTTATCCTTCATCGGGTGAATGAAGAGACTAGAAACTAGGAAGAGAAAGCTAAAGACGTACATTTGAAACAACAGTGATAAGATAACAAGGGAAGCCAGTACTTAATTAGCGCTAAATTGGTAGGGTGGATGGACAAATGGAAGCCAGGGATTGTTAATCCCGGCATGAATAATGAGATAACAATGGTGGCATTTAACAAGGGAAATGACAATAATGAACTGTAAGCCAGGAATTAATCCAAGCCTTATTAATGATGTAACAATAAATCAAATGATTGTTATCCTTTTTACAGACTATTTAAGAGCACTCATTTATTTCAACGAAAACACACTCGGTTTCTGGAGTTATTGTTGGATTTTTGTTTGGACAAGTTGAAGGATTAATTAGAAAAATGCCACAGAATTTGAAAGCATGTTCATTTTGTTTCTATACGACTAAACCAAATGAAAATAAAGCCTCCTGTTGGATTAAATCATACGCAGGTTAGACGTCATGTGCAGACAGGACAGGAAATATCGCTTTCTCGCTTTCTCGCTTTCTCGCTTTCTCGCTTTCTCGCTCTATCGCTTTCTCGCTTTCTCGCTCTATCACTTTCTCGCTCTATTGCTTTCTCGCTTTCTCGCTTTATCGCTTTATCGCTTTCTCGCTCTATCGCTTTCTCGCCTTGGTATATCGCTTTTTCGCTCTATTGCTTTCTCGCCTTGGTATATCGCTTTCTCGCTCTATCGCTTTCTCGTCTTTTGCTATCGCTTTCTCGTCTCGTGTTATCGCTTTCTCGTCTCCTGATATCGCTTTCTCGCTTTCCCGCCTCCGAATTTTAAGGCGAGAAAGCGATGGCCCTAATCAGCCACCATATTTTCTCATTTTATCGCTCTATCGCTTCCTCGCCTTGGTATATCGCATTTTCGCTCTTTCGCTTTCTCACGTGATGGTATCGCTTTCTCGTCTCGTGCTATCGCTTTCTCGTCTCGTGTTATCGCTTTCTCATCTCGCGTTATCGCTTTCTTGTCTCGTGCTATGGCTTTCTCGTCTCGTGTTATCACTTTCTCGTCTCGTGATATCGCCTCCGAATTTTAAGGCGAGAAAGCGATGGCCCCATTCAGCCACCATATATAACTGATCAAATTCCATCTTTAACATTGGGCATAGATTCTATATTTCACATCTCTGGGAATATTTTTGTCTGATATTTGTTTTGATCATTCATATATTTTTCAGCGAATTCCTATAAATTCCACTTGGGGTATGACAGCAAGGTTACACGAATGTTCAGTTTGAGAAATATTTTAAAGTCATTTTTGAGTGTCTGCTTTGGGATTTATTGGATTACATAATTAATCAAACAAATCCCTATGGTGATTATCAAACCCTTTTTAGAAATATATTTGGAAATATAAGGTGAACATCTGGTTATCATTACGTGAGAATAAGTCTGTAACAAATAAGTTTTTCTTCTTCTCTTATTTGTATCAAAAAGGTTTAATTCTTTAAAAACACTTCGGCGATGTTAAGTACCATTGGAATCAAACAAGAATTGAGTTATCGTTCCTGTTTAAAGTAGTTCTGATGTTCATGCGCCAATATGAAATCCTCCCAGAGGGGCACGAGTCGCTATTCGGCTTGTCCCTGAAAAACACGAGTTGGTCACGATTGAGTCACATATAGATAAGGCCATATTGCTCAGTTGCCATTTGTGAAACTGTTACGAGTTGATTACCGAGTTGAAACTAAAAAGTTAACCAGGAATGAGAACTAAGAAACCAACAGACAACAGAAACTTGTGCTGTAGTTAACCAGTGTCTTCCAAAATTAATTAAGTTAACAAATCATGTATAAGTCATTGCTAAGATATCACCTTGGTAATACAAACTAGTGTGGCTGTACAAATTCATAGAGGCAGTACATTACAAGAGCAGCGGTTATAGCAATAAAGACAGTGATGGTATTATTTGGCTCTCAGCTACAGTAATCTCCCTTGCAGCTAGGGATAGGATATGATCATCACATAACAGGACCCGTAAGTAGGTCACGGCTTTTCGCGAGACCTTAGTACTTCCGGTGACAAACAACGTTCCATACCTATTCGAATGGTCTCATGGTTGTCAGTTGACAGTGAGTAACCGATAATCCGAGCAGGAATAACAGAATTCCGATCTAACCATCCCCAAATTAGTCAAATATTACGACTGCCAACATCTGTGACAGCTAAGCATGCATATGGTTGTACACTTGGTCCGGTCTCACATATCCAAAGGTGGCGCGCGCAAGGGAGTGGGAACCAGCTTAGCGCTTGGAAGTAGCGCCTCGCGAGACTTACAGGCCATATGCTGACTTGAGATGTAATGGGAGATGGGATCCAGTGCCACAGAACACTGCCCCTTAATGAATGTACAAGTATAGTACAACCAGAAATTATGAGAATTTAAAGATTGTAATTTTAAAAACATTTCACTCATTACTCACGTATTAAAGTGAATATTAACAGAACATAACTCCAGATTCAAAGACGGGTGAACAGTTAGTATTTTGTCAAGTCACCATGGGCAGCAATGCAGGCTTCAATGCGGCGGGGCATACGACTGATCAAAGAATTTAGAAAGTCGTGATCCATGCTGTCCCAATATCGGACCACCTCTTCTTTCATTTCAGCAATATTTGTCACATTTTTCTTATTGACACTTTCCTTCATAAGTCCCAAAACATTTGCTATTGGATTTAGGTCAGGGCAATAGCTAGGCCAATCCAATAATGTCATATTTTGGGTCCAAAACCAGGCCTGTGAATTCTTTGAACGATGCTTTGGGTCGTTGTCCTGCTGGAAAATCCAAAAAATTCCATAGAACACATGAGCAGATGGAAGTAAATGTCCCTCGAGAATATTTGTGAACCGCGCACAGTTCATATTCCCTTCAAATACACAAAGGGAGTTGTCCCTAACACAATTATGCCACCCCACACGTTAAATTTCTAACTGTGCTTTGGGTGCTGATACAAAGGTTTTTCAGTTTGTTTAGACCAGAATTTCAGTGTATTAGGAAACAGCCACACGGAACTTTCATCAGTGAAGATCACATTGTCCCAGTTAAAATGTCTATGCTGTAAGCACCAGTTCAACCTTCGCTCCTTTTGTTCAGGTTTCATGATTGGAGATGGAATTCCTCAACTTTTCTGCCAACCCACTGCATGCAGCTCAGTTCTAATTGTCTCCTTACAGACAGCCACTTTTCCTCTATCTATCATATCGAGCCTTAGGTTTTCTAAACTCTTACGTTTGTTTTTAGAAACAAGAATACCAAGCTGCCTCCTGTCACCGACAGTCAATTTTCTAAGCCGACCTGCGCCTCCCTGGTGCTCAATGCCATATCCATTTGCAATATTTTTCAAAACACGATAAACAGTGGACAAAGGGATGCCTGTTCTACTTGAAATCACTTTAGCTGACCTGATGCCCCTGTTATAATACTACAAAGTCAACTTCCTCTTCTCTAAATCATGCATACTGAGGATCACTGAAAATGTCTTCTGCTAGCAAGTAAACAAAGGGGGATAACTCTTCACAAACTAATGAAAAGGATTAACAGAGTTGTCTCTCTTGAATGAAACCAAGCACTTGATAGCTGGTCAAGGTTGTTTATACTAGAAATCCAATAAAACATATTCCTAAAATTCTCAATAATTTCTGGTCATGTATAATGTATAACAGCTGAAATCTAGTATCCCCAAGCCAATCCTAGTAGCTCTTTACGTTTACGGTTCATTTACGCATGCATGGTATCGTTTAACATTTGATACAAGTAATGGCACATTATCTGAGCTTTAATGACACTCCGATGGATGATAAAGTATTAATGTAGCTGTTTCCAGCTACTAATGTTACTGACACTTTGCTGCAACCGAACATTGGATTAATGTGCCCAGTAAGTACATGGAAGGTTGAATTGTTAAATGCTACTCACAACGAGACGCTCAGTCAGTCCAACCACTTGTGGACATGTATCAAAATGTCATAAGCAACTTCAGTTCGGTTATATCTATGAAATGAATTAAATATATTAATGATGAACACATAATATGACACATTGCAAACGTATTCTTTCAGATAAGAAACGACGTAATGGCCTCCAACTCTACACCTCTGGGACAAATTCATCTGACCCTAAAGAAGAATATCTATGTGACACAGTTAGAGGACGTGCTGACGGTACAGACATCCTGGATGTCCTGAATGTCACCTGTCCCTGGGACCTGGCGCTACCTGACCGTCTACACAGAGACTGATAATGATGGACATGGTGCTGTGTTGGACTTCGTTGAAGTACAGGTGTGGAGTAAGTATAAGAACAATGACAGACCAACTGGAACAGATAACCAAGAAATAATCAAGTCGATATTCCACAAAGCATAGATTGATGTCATGAGCAAAATACACTTAGTCAAGTTATGATGACAAACAGGTATTCGGTAAAATAATATGTGCAAATACTGAATTTGTCTTTGGTGACATTTCCAACATACGCAGTATAACGATCACAGCGTTAGTTTTCACAACGAATATGCTTCATATGTCTAATCGTAGACGAGGTGGGTATGTCTGATCGTAGACGAGGTGGGTATGTCTGATCGTAGACTAGGTGGGTGTGTCTGATCGTAGACCAGGTGGGTATGTCTGATCGTAGACGAGGTGGGTATGTCTGATCGTAGAGCAGGTTGGTATGCCTGATCGTAGACCAGGTAGGTGTGTCTGATCGTAGACCAGGTGGGTGTCTCTGATCGTAGACGAGGTGGGTATATCTGATTGTAGACAAGGTGGGTATGTCTGATCGTAGACCAGGTGGGTGTGTCTGAGCGTAGACCAGGTGGGTATGTCTGATCGTAGACCAGGTGGGTATGTCTGATCGGAGACCAGATGGGTGGGTCTGATCGTAGACCAGGTGGGTTAGTCTGATCGTAGACCACGTGTGTATGTCTGATCGTAGACCACGTGGGTATGTCTGATCGTAGACCAGGTGGGTATGTCTGATCGTAGACCAGGTGGGTATGTCTGATCGTAGACCAGGTGGGTGTGTCTGATCGTAGACCAGGTGTTTGTGTCTGATCGTAAACGAGGTGGGTATGTCTGATCGTAGACTAGGTGGGTGTGTCTGATCGTAGAGGAGGTGGGTATGTCTGATCATAGACGAGGTGGGTATGTCTAATCGTAGACGAAGTGGGTATATCTGATCGTAGACCAGGTGTGTATGTCTGATCGTAGACTAGGTGGGTGTGTCTGATCGTAGACGAGGTGTGTGTGTCTGATCGTAGACGACGTGGGTATGTCTGATCGTAGACAAGGTGGGTATGTCTGATCGTTGACCAGGTGGGTATTTCTGATCGTAGACCAGGTGGGTGTGTCTGATCGTAGACCAGGTCGGTATGTCTGATCGTAGACCAGGTGGGTATGTCTGATCGTAGACCAGGTGGGTGTGTCTGATCGGAGACCAGATGGGTGGATCTGATCGTAGACCACGTGGGTGTGTCTGATCGAAGACCAGGTGGGTATGTCTGATCGTAGACCACGTGTATGTGTGATCGTAGACCAGGTAGGTATGTCTGATCGTAGACCAGGTAGGTATGTCTGATCGTTGACCACGTGTGTATGTCTGATCGTAGACCAGGTAGGTATGTCTGATCGAAGACCAGGTGGGTATGTCTGATCGTTGACCAGGTGGGTATATCTGGTCGTAGACCAGGTGGGTTAGTCTGATTGTAGACCACGTGTGTATGTGTGATGCTAGACCAGGTGGATATGTCTGATCGTAGAGCAGGTGGGTATGTCTGATCGTAGACCAGGTGGGTGTGTCTTATCGTAGACCAGGTAGGTATTTCTAATCATAGACAGGCTGGGTATGTATGGGTATTTGCGACTTGAAATGGAGACAAGAGAAGATCATGCCACGTAAATCTGAAAGCAGATTCCTCAGACCTACTTACTATAACCTATTGATCTGGGTGACATCTGTTGTATAGCCATATTTAGTATCAATGTATATAATGTTCATATTTATTATGTCTTATTTTTTATTCAATTTAAAGCAAGTCTAAAGTCCCCTACGTCCCAAACTATTCTTACTGTATTTGGGGTAGCCTAGTGGTTAAAGCGTCCGCTCGTTAAGCCGAAGACCCGGGTTCGATTCCTCACATGTGTAGAATGTGTGAAGCCCATTTCCGGTGTTCCCCGCCGTGATATTATTGCTGGAATATTGCTAGAAGTGGCGTAATACCATATTCACTCACTCACTTACTGCATTTGCTATGTCCTTGTTCTATTGGCCATTTTGGAGAGCATTAAAATATATTGTATGCAGAATGTAGGGCCGCAGATTCTATGACATGACAAGTAGCATGGCCTTGTTTACACGGCTGGTTGCACACCATAGGGGAACATGAATCGCCAACTGGGCCATGACACAAATAGTTGGACATGCTACATACGTACTCAGATCCCTACAGTCACCCGACAGCATAAATGTAATTTGCCAGATGTTACTCAGTTGCAGAAGTTTTGATACATCTGTTGAAGTCATGGCTTAACTATTTCTGTAGTTTACACGTCGTAGAAAGACGACATTAGTATATTGATTGATCATAGTATAAAGAACCTTGATTTGTGTTACAGGCTGTGATACCTTGTAGGCTTGAATAGAAAACATGCTAGATTGAGATCTCGCGTGTTGTAATTGGAAGCGCAAATGTTAGGTAACACGTTTACATGAATGAAATACTAAAATGTATATTTCAAAACTAATATTTACTTAAATACTAGACATGTATTTGTTCACGGTTATCTGCTGTTTCTCGTCAGCTTGTGTCAGAATTGTGCAGCAAAAGCTGCAAAGACTTTTGAACTATCAGGAAAAGCGTATAAATTGATTGTCATATTGTTTGTAGTAAGGTCAAGTGTACAATATCTTGTGCATTACACACACACACACACACACACACACACACGCACGCACGCGCGCTCGCGCCCTTAATTCTTTCTGTATTATCGAGTGAAAGAGGTCCACCTCTGTCAGGAAAACGTTCTTAAAATTCATCCAACGGTAGATACTACAGTAAATAAAAACATACATGCTGACATGATCGTTCAAGTGGTCTGCACTTTCCGCACACCAACCACTGCCTCTCACCCTCTAACCAATGATCACTCTTTATATGGTATCTACATTCCATACCCCTTTTTTGCAGCACATCACTGAAGCAATGGTATAACCCTGTTGAGGGAACAAATAGTATTCTTTCGATATTATACTTCTAATTGGTTTGCAGGAACCTGTAGTGTTTAGGTACCGCTAGTGATAATTGAGAGTAGTTTTTTCGAATTTATGAATGGCATGACATAATCAAGAGAGTATCAGTCTTGTCACTTCCTGTATGCGGAATGCAAGTAGCTCGAGTGTGTCAAATAATAAGCTTTGCTTTGCATGAAATACCAAAATCTTGTATTTTATTATTGCAGTCATTCTCTGAATTATGCCTTTTGGCAATGAGAACCTCATGACACTGTGACTGACTTTTAATTAAACTAACCCGCCCACCTGTTACTGAAACCAAGCAGTCCTGGTACCACACTGAATCAGCATAAGATGGATCAATTTAGGACGGTAATATTGTCTAGTATCCGCCTCCGGACAAATGGAACCAGTTCTAACAACATAGCAGTAACCATTTTTGCAAATGGCCCATCCGATCGCTGGTGAAATTGCTGGTACAGATTTAATGACCAGTTCATATTTGATACGAGTTCACTGATGTACTCAGGGGCTAGACCATGCAGCGATTTGAAGACAGACACCAGGGTTTTTTTTAATGAAACTTTTGAAACTAAGTTGACGCCGAAAGCAAAATGCCCTGACCCAAATGTAGTGCATATTGGTCTTGCTACATACTGGAACCAAACATTTATGGTAACAATTGATCGCTACTGAAATTGCTGTTCCATGTTAATCATCATGAACAGTGTGGCTTGTGCCAGTTGGAGCAGTTTAAGCAGTTCATATTTGAATGTACGAATGATATAAGAGATGAGTGACGTCACTCAACTGTGCATGTGTTTCAGCATGTGCACCCGGTGATAGGTATGGAGACAACTGTAGCAAGTACTGTAACTCCCGTCACTGTGTCGACAGCCTGGCCTCCTGTCCTCCTGACACAGGGGCGTGTCCAAGTGTAGGGTGCCAATCGGGGTGGGCAGGAACTGACTGTACAGGTATGCGCAGGATTGCACATCGATGTACAATTTCGACCTGTACAATTCTGTAAGTCATGACTGTAAGACGATAACTGTAACAATATTATAATTCTATTGTCGTTAATAGTTCCCAAGCTTTACGTCATTATCTGCGGGATTACCACTTCGTACATGCAGCACCACACAACACACTAGTTTACTGGGTATATAGAACCAGCCCACCTGTTAGTCTTGTTCTGACTGATGTAAAATTATCACACACTAAACATTTGCAATGTTGAGGCCCTGTAATTAATGATGATGTTGCGTGATGAAGAGAATGCCACATTGGTGTGTTTTGATAGATTATTTGTTTTAACATTTTGGTCTTTATGTCATAACCTATTTACTACGTAATATTGTCATTTGTTTGTTGTACCTTTCTTTGTACTTTGGTTGAATGTATGTTCACAACTGTTTGAAAATGCAACAGCAAATGTTGTTTTTTTTAAAGAGTGTGTTTTGAGATGGAACAGATCCTGTATTAGAAATATACACCTGCCCTTACATTTAGCGTAATGATATGTCAGATCATAGGCTATGGATGACATACTTGCATCTTGTATTTGAGTGTAGACTCGCTCTCAATTACGTGAATGAAAGTTACATTGCCACTGGCTTGACTTAAACTGTAATATAAAATCCGAAACAATTGATGGCGAAAATCACAAGAATCAGCATCACATCCATTATATGTAAAAACATACTGGCCTTTTATTTAACTGGAAATAAACATACTTAGTAGATTACGCATAGACTGGACTTAATGTACAGATTCATTCACGGTATTTATATTTTGTAGTGTGCGCCGACGGATACTATGGAATCAGCTGCACCCAACTGTGCAGTGACCGTCACTGCAAGTACTCTTCCAGATGTGATGGAATACAGTGGAAATGTAATGGTGAATGTCAGGCTGGATACCAGGACCGGTCTGTACACAAGGAAATGTTGTAGACAATGCAGTTTACTTCATATACTACTTATAAAATGTGTTTTTTTAACGGAATCAGGGACTTGTGGTCGGTGTATGCTGTCACCAGTGTCTGTATTATAACGGAATCGGGGACTTGTGGTCGGTGTATGCTGTCACCAGTGTTTGTATTATAACGGAATCGGGGACTTGTGGTCGGTGTATGCTGTCACCAGTGTCTGTATAATAACGGAATCAGGGACTTGTGGTCGGTGTATGCTGTCAACAGTGTCTGTATTATAACGGAATCGGGGACTTGTGGTCGGTGTATGCTGTCACCAGTGTCTGTATTATAACGGAATCGAGGACTTGTGATCGGTCTATGCTGTCACCAGTGTCTGTATTATAATGGAATCAGGGACTTGTGATCGGTGTATGCTGTCACCAGTGTCTGTATAATAACGGAATCAGGGCCTTGTTGTCGGTGTATGCTGTCATCAGTGTCTGTAGCTTCACCAGGCAATGGCGCCAAACATGCATAGTTTTGTTTTCCAAAGTCACTTTTATGAATTTCAAAATTGAAATAGTGAGATCGACACTTGAAAACACATGTCAATGCAAATGAATTGTTCACGTCAACAAATACAGTAACATATTGTTCAGGAACATAATAGGATTACATTTTGATCATTGATAATTCCAGCATGGTAATATCCACCTTAACATCTAGGGATCTTTGCCAAGGACATGAATGTACTAACCCTGATGAAATACCTTTGTACATGAGTCGTAAGAAATTGTCTGTATAGGTCACGTGACATCCATGATGTCGGTACGGATACCAAAGTCTGGATATAGATCATGGATGCATCTAATGCTCTGTTTACAACAGCTTGCAGTTATTCTGCTTCCATTGGTCCGACTAGCTTTTCCCGTGGTCCTTTAATTGGCAGAATAACTTCCCAGTTAAACAGAACATCGTTGCCCCTATTCATGATTTTCCACATGCAGAACATTAATTGGAATCTCGGTTTTAATGTTCTCAAAAGGTCTTTTTTATCTGAAGCAGTATGCATTTTGTCGTTGCCGAATTTTAATAATTTGATTAATTGATTTGTGAGTACAACGATAGGTTTGTTTCCATTTTAGGAGTATATATATATTTAATGACTTTGATTATCATATTTGCAAGCATGCAACTCAGGGTATTATGGAGCCAACTGTGGCCAGTCCTGTGCTACACGTCACTGCAAGATGAACTCCGTCTGTGATGTGACACAAGGGCGGTGTGTCGTAGGATGTGCGGCTGGATATCAAGGAACAGACTGTACACAAGGTAATATCTTCTCATATCTCGTTATCGCTAAACTCGCGGTAAAAGATGTTTCAGAAAATATATTTGTAAACCTTTTTCTGTAATATTTGTTCCCTCATCATAACATCTGAATAGCTAAATAAATCAAGCCGTCTCATGATCTACTTACAATCGAAAGTCCATTCTTTCCATGATTCCAATATACTTCATCCTTTTAGTGCGTGCATTTATTCAAATGTTGCAGATGATTGCAAAGGAAGTCAAATATCCTTCACTACAATGCCTGATATGGGTTATGTTAAATACTTCCTTTGAAATTTATGCAAACGAAAGTACCGCTGTAAAACACAGCAGATTGTGTTGCAATTACGTCTGGATATAGCTAGCATACAATATGTTAATCATGATTCGGTTTGGAGCAGCTTAAGCAGTTACTATACACATGTACCAGTGATATAAGAACTAACTGACCTCACTAAGCTCACAATTCATTTCAGCATGGGTTTTACTTACGGAGACAACTGTAGAAAGTACTGCAACTCCCGTCACTGTGTCGACAACCTGGCTTCCTGTCCTCCTGACACAGGGGCGTGTTCAAGTGCAGGCTGCCTAACTGGATGGGCAGGAACTGACTGTCCTAGTTGTAAATGGATATCTGTGATACACTATAAGTTTTACTGTTCTTCGTCAACAGGTTTTAATTCCTAATTTTATTGATGCATGATATAATCATTAATTGTTCTAGTCTCGATATGGCTGAAATATTGCTGATGTGACGTTAAATATTAACTCACTCACTCACTCAGCTATTATCTGTTTACGCCAATGTGGTAAACTAGACCTATAAATTGTCAGCTACCGTAATAACTGATGTATAACTCTTGTATTTATCTGTGTGTCTGTCTGTCTTACTACAACCTTTATACATTACAACTTATTCATTGTACATAAAAGTTGTATTCTTTGTCATTTTGTCATCATAATGTGCTATCATGATATACAAGGGTACTATTTGTAATTGTAAATATGGCCGTGTTACTCTCTGTTATATAAAAATATTCCCATTATGGGATAAATGGATACGAATCAAACACCACTGTACCCATATATCATATGCCAGTGTTTATTTTGTGAGATGTTTATAATCTTAGTATGCTTAGAATAAATATTTATTTACAATATTATCTTCGAGGCTCTCACACCAATCGTCAGCTTAATGCACATTGCAACAGCTAGCTTATATATGTGCAAGATCTGGTTGTCATGGCCATACTGAATATTTACTACTCTGATGAGGACATGTTTTATCTATATCTGTATGTATATGATTTTTTATCTTTGTTATTTTGCGTTCTATAATCAACTACCACATGCTATATAAGTATGCCTGGCTAATATAGCGATGTTTAAAATCAAACGGGCATTATGAGTTTCTATAACCGGTTTCAGTAACCAATGAAATCCATGTTTACCGTTGTGTGAGCCAAGGTTGCGTGTTGTCTTCCACGTTATTCTCTGTTGTTATTAATGACCTGATTGACAGTAAAGTAAACTGCGGTATGTTCAATAATCCCTTCATACAGGATAAACGTTACAGAAGTGCAGAATGATAGGTTACAGTTATGGTGGGCAGTGGCGCTTATGTATGTATGTATGTATGTATGTATGTATGTATGTATGTATGTATGTGTGTGTGTGTGTGTGTGTGTGTGTGTGTGTGTGTGTGTGTGTGTGTGTGTATGTATGTATGTATGTATGTATGTATGTATGTATGTATGTATGTATGCGAATGTAAGTAGACTTTGGCTGGCGTCGACACATTTAAATGGATGAGTATGTATGGTAGGTGGGATGAGAGACACCTGTATGTGTGTATTGCTACAGTAACGGATACTTGCACTGGAGGACATGTGGGATGGGATTCCTGTGTTCACTTGTAGTAATGGTGTGTTTTTTCCTTTTTAGTGTTTCTTTTTTACTGTACGTCATATGTTCCTTGACGACTTTAATTCCCCATGGGTCATAATGGCCGGGCACTGTAAATGCCCTTTAGAAATATCTAGTATTTATCTGCTGTACAATGCGCGACACATAACAATTTATCATCTTCTGAAAACAATAAAGTTTATGGTGACAACATAATTATTGACACTCTAAATCCAGATTAACCAAGACAGCTGCATGGTGGTTGTCGACAACAATACACACGTCTCAGTTCTGGATTCAAAATTCAGTCGGGGGCCATTTGTTCAAAGCGATCATAATACGACGAGTGTTCGTAACTCCCGTGTTCTATGATCACAAGACTCCAGACAACCGTAGCGCTAAGGTAGCTTTGTGCATGTAGGTCCTACAAATTAAACCATGCCTTTTACTCAAACTATATTTCGATACGTGGTTCATACGCAGGATGTGTAAGGTGATGAATCCCTCCCCAGGTTTGCTTAAAACTACAGTTTAACTACTTGCTCTGGTTACCTACGTCAACAATTCCAATACTTAATCCCAGAGGTAAAGATGAACTGTAATGGCTGTATCATATTTCGTAACCTTTTTCAATAGATTCATAAAGATAAACTGTAATTCATGCATCAGGTTACTGACCAATTCTGTTTTAATCACTATCTGCATAGAATACTTGTATTGATGGTAATGTCAATGTGATTTCGAATACCAGAAATAGATACTCCGTAATAATTTACTTACATTAATTCAGGTAAAATTGCCAACATTTTTAAAGGTATCTTATAGAAATAATGCTTCTAGTTCCTTTGATGGGGAGAATGGCAGAAGAAAATTGTTCATTTGACCCGTTTATCAGATATGTTATCACTAGTGTGATGTGAAATGGCATAGATGTTTATTTTGCAGCACTCATTATGTGGGACAATTAACAAACACAACTATTGTTAATTATTCGATAACGATGAAACAATGCAGAGAACATAATACTTCGTAATTGGTCGATAAGATGTTTTAGGTCAAATAATTCTTCTTTTTAGAGAAACAGATAATCTGTGAGGTGGTAATACCTCCAGAAAAAGCTGTGATTAAGGAAACTTAAGGTGTGTTTTGTGCAAAGACATGAAAAGGAACGTTTGGAGAAACAAATAAAGAGTTCCACTGCTTAAATATATAGACCTTTATCACTTGTCGCTTGGGAGATTGAATATTTCACAGAAATATCCGTGAAAAGAATCTCTTCATGAATCAGTATGGCTAATTATGAACAAACAAGTGCGTATGTGCGTTTGCACCAAATTTAGGGTCTTCAGCTGAACCAATTTAACTTGACTGCGGGGCCAGCAAAAGAATACACTTATGATCAATGGTGACTAAATAGCTGAAACTATATGAAACTCTGAATAAAGCCTCGATATCCCACCAACGAGACGTAACCATCCAACTCATTGCAGACCCGTGAAGATCCGGGTTAGAAATGATTTTCAGCAACCCATGCTTGCCTCCCTGTGAAGATCAGCGTTAGAATTGGTCTTCAGCAACACATGCTTGTCGTAAGAGGCGACAAACGGTATCGGATGGTGAAACTCCCTGACTAGATTGACACATGTCATCGTATCCCAATTGCGTAGATCGATGCTCATGCCGTTGATCATTGTATTGTCTGGTCCAAACTGGATTATTTACAGCCGCTGCCATATAGCTGGAATATTGCTGAGTGCGGCGTAAAACAACAACCAAATCATTGCGTGTTACAAGTTGATAATCTGAAGTCACCTCTACGATAGCAGGGTTACGGGAGCCTGTTGAGTCATTGATACAGTTCTCGTGAAATACAGCTGATTTTATGCCAGTGCCCAACTGTTACACCTGCACTATCATTTAATACAACAACGTAAACAGTACTGATTAATCAGACTTTATTTTGCTGAAGCGTATAGATTAAATCATATTACGAGGTGAAATAAATTAACAATATACAAGGTTACAGGTAAGTCAATATATAATACTTCGTATGTATGTATGTATGTATGTATGTATGTATGTATGTATGTATGTATGTATGTATGTATGTATGTATGTATGTATGTATGTATGTATGTATGTGTGTTTGTATGTATGTATGTATGTATGTATGTATGTATGTATGTATGTATGTATGTATGTATGTATGTATGTATGTATGTATGTATGTATGTATGTATGTATGTATGTATCTGTGTGTGTCTGTCTGTCTGTCTGTCTGTCAGCATGTATGTATATATGTGTGTGTATGTGTATATGTGTGTGTACGGATGGGCGTGTATGTATGTGTCGATAGATAGATGGTAGACAGTTAGATAGATGACAGACAGACAGACAGATGACAGATAGACAGTCAGTCAGACAGACAGACCGACAGACAGATAAATAGATAGATAGATAGATGGATAGATAGATAGATAGATAGATAGATAGATAGATAGATAGATAGATAGATAGATAGATAGATAGATAGATAGATAGATAGATAGATAGATAGATAGATAGATAGATAGATAGATAGATAGATAGATAGATAGATAGATAGATAGATAGATAGATGATAGATAGAGTAAAAGTAGAACAAGATTACATATATTATATTACAGGTGTCTACATGACCACCGAGTCTGGTTCGAATCTCAGTCAACAATGACTCACTTCCACGTGTCATATTAGCATTTAGACCATAGACCCCAACCGGCTAACAAGGTTTACACAGTTCAAACATGATGTACATACAATGGCTGCACATCTCTCCGAATGATCAAATGAATCCAATTCTATTCCAATGATTTACCCATTTGAAAGTTAAGTGCGCTGTACATAATATATTATTTAGACTGATGAAATACCATCCACAAGGCTAAGGACACATGGGATGACTCTTCCACAGCTGGTCAATAGTTCCACGTGTTCTATCTGAATGATAGAATACATAACATATACGCTGATACCTTGCTGCCGTAGCTGGTTGTGGCAATATTTTACTATACCACACACCCATCGCATGTTTCACTTCTGTTAGATGGAAATACATACACTGAACTTGTATTTGCTTCGCATTTGACAGAATAACTTTTCATACTCAAGGATCTTTTCTGACCGAAGTGGAAACACCGAGGAACACAGCATGAAGAGCACCTGAATTCTTTATGTGACCGAACTGATGATCAAATACGTTCGTTTCTTTAGATGACTGGATGGTGAACACATTGCAATTGTATAATAAACATCAATAAACTATTATCAAGTCAATATCAACATTGTAAGAGTGCAGTAAGGGTATATTGGAATGATAAGCAAATGATATCGTCATGGCTAATTCAGAAGCAATTATTAAGTGGGATTCATATTCATATATGTTTGAGGTGCTGTATATGTACAAGTAGACGACGTAAGCTTGCGTGTGCTGTGCATCAGTGTAATCGACAAGTTAAAGTGTCGTCACGTGTAAGGAACAACTCTTAATGTGACAAATGATGTGATGCATGATGTGACACATGGTGTGGTGCATGATGTGAAATTATTAAACAACATAGACGGAAGCCGCGGTGGCCGAGCAGGCTAGGTGGCTGACTTTGAGTGCTGGCGATTAGGTGCCTGACTCTCAGGGTGTGGGTTCGAATCCCGCATGGGAGTCAACTCCACAA